CGCTGCGTGCTGTCTAAATAAAGGCTCCCATCAGGCCATGTGTCTGCTGTGTGTGGCTAGGAAAGGTGGAAATTGTCTCCTCTCCCGAGCAGCCGCCTGTCCTCACTCTGCTCTAAAGTTGGCCAGACCAGGGCTCAGGTCCTTCTTCCATTTTTTAGCAGAGAACTAAGAGCAAATCCTTTCCTCCTGAGCACAGTTGGATCATCAGAACAGGGAAGAACGGCAGAGCCTGCCCGTCCACTTGCTGTGGGGCTTCCCCAGGTGAAGTGCGGCGGGCTGCAGAGCGAGGCCATGGGGTTTGATTTATTCCTGTTGTGTCTGTGGGCACAGGAGGATGCTGCGAGGCTGCACTTCTTTTGGAGTGGCAAACGGACATTCCGAGAGTCAGAGCGAGGTGTGGGGACAGGCGGGGTAGACAGTGTCCTTGGAAGAGTAGGTGGCCCTGTCTGGGGGTTTAGGACCAGAAAGAACCCTACATGGCACAGCCTTTCGGGTTCTTCACAGTCATCGTGTGACCAATCAACTCAGGCCCAGAGGTAGGCAAGGAATAAACAATCGTGGCCACCAGCCTCTAGGTTGGTTTTCCCATGCCTCAGTTTCCCTGTAGTAATGGCGACAGTTTGGCTAGGCATGGCGGTCGGTGTAAGCCTATAATCCCGGCACTCTAGCAGGAGGAGTGCAAGTTCAAGCCCAGCTGGGCAACTTAGCAAGACTCTGTCTCAAAAATAAAAAGGGATGGGGAGGTAGCTCAGTGTCAAGGCCCCAGGTCCTGGCCTTCCCCGTGCCTGCTGCAGGCAGTCCAGGGCTCCCAGGGGCAGAGAGGGCGCTCAGGAAGCACAGGCGGACAACCCTGAGCTGCTCAAGAGGAGAGCTTTGTCCTGAGCTCCAAGAATTTCACAGCCTAGGCCGCCTTTGCAGACCTGCCAACTTGGCATTGCCACAACTTCCCAGCACCAGGGCCCCTGCCTCCAGGGCAACTCAGTAAAAGGCGGGCCAGGGCTCAGACGCCCTGGTGGCCTTCTCTGCCCACCTGGATCCCTCTCCTGCTCCAGCCAGTTGGTGCTCAGATGACCTTGGGCCATTACAGAACTTGCAAGATGGGCCCTGGACATCCAGATGAACTGGGGAGGGAATCCGGGCTCCTAATCATAGGGTGGCATTTGGAGAAAAACAATATTGGCGATAGCTACCACTGACAGTTCCGGCATTGCTTGTGAGGCCTGCCCGTTTCTGTCTAGAAACTTCTAGCTGGGGCTGGGGATTTAGCTCAGCGGCAAAGTGCCTGCCTTGCAAGCGCAAGGTCGTGAGTTCGGTTCCCGGTACCGGAGAAAAACAAAAAAAAAAAAACAAAAACAAAACTTCTAGCTGAGGCAGAAGGATCGTTGCAAGTTCGAGACCAGCCTGGGCTACAAAGTGAGCTCAAGGCCAGCCTGAACTGCATAGTGAGACCCTGTCTCAAAAAGACAAAAAACAAAACAAAACAAAAAAAACAACCATTGGTGAGGGCCGGGGATATAGCTCAGCAGCATAAACCCCTGCCTGTCAAGCTTGAGGTCATGAATTTGATTCCTGGCACACACACACAAAAAAAGTAAAACGACCATGGGTGCCTTCACCTGCTTCCTGAGCACGCACCGGGCTCCCCCCCGCCTTGGGGAATAGCACTCCGTTCCCAGGTTGTTACGTGGTCAGCTACTTGTCACATCTGTTCAAATGCCACTTCCTCGGGTCATCTTCCCTGATCACAGGGCTTGACACTTCGTGGCTGAACAGTGGATGCCAGGCCCCATGCCAGCGCCCTACAGTCAAAACCATTTGGTTGCCATCCACAGTGACCTGTGCGTGGAAGCTGACAGTAGCCTTGCTTCACAGTGACCCTGGCGCTTGGGCTCAGGAAAGCACAGGGCTTGAGTTCTTTCCTAGGAGCGTAAGCAGCCCCCTTTCCTCTCTTCCTGATAGAAATCATAGGTAGGGCTTATGGCCAAGGATACAGCTCAGTGGCAGAGCACCTGCCTGGCAAGTGTGAGGTTCTGAGTTTGATTCACAGTGTCAAAAAAAAAAAATCATACATAGCAGGCCAAGGATGGGGTTGGCTCAGCAGTAGAGAGCTGGCCTAGTATGCATGAAGCCCTGGGTTCCATCCCCAGCACTGGAAGGAAAATGAACCACAGGTAGCTGACATTTGAGGCACACGGGCTCCAAAGCAGGCTCAGCCCTGCCACTGAGCACTACTTAGCACCCTGCCAGCCTCTGCTTGCTCATCTGTAAAATGAGGAGCGAATCACCCCTACCTTCCAGCAAGAGCTTGGAAGGCTCAGGGAAATGGTGCCTGGTGACCACAAAGGAAGCCAGGCTTTGCCAGGGAGGCCCCTGGAGACCTCTGAAATCACTGCATGCAAAGTCAAGCAAGTCTGCTCAGAAGTCTGCTCAGCACACACCCAGAGCGGGAGGATTTCTACAGCCCGGTTCTCCCAGGCCAAGTCCAACACAATGCGATGCGCTGAACACCAAAGCACCCCAGAAACCCGGGGAGCCTGAGGGGCTGCCGCCGTGTGAGTCTCAGGTCTCGGAGAGTCTCCGGCGCCGAGGCTGGTTCCCTAGCGCCATGCAGCAGGGGCCAAGTCCGTGGAAAGGAGCCGCAGAGGTGGGTCTAAGCAAGGCCCCTCTCACAAATGACAACCAAGTCCCTGCCCTTCTCAAAACTCTCAGTGGCTCTTTACTGCCCCTGGGTTAACCCCTCAGCCTGGCACACAAGGCCTTTCCACTCCCTCTTCCCAGCACATCCTCCCCACCAGGTACCCTAGTGCCCAAGCCCACCAGTCACGAAAAACTGCTTCAGGGTGGACACTGGATGCAAAGAGTGGGCCCTTGGAGGTGAGGGAGACAGCGCCACCCTAGCCCAGGGAAAGGTCAACTGAAGCCCTTCTCCAGCTGGGAGCCTGACATGTGTCATCTTGCATGCTTACCAGCCACACAGAAAACTTGTATCTAGATCTTTTATTCCATTTTATTTATTTATTTACTTATTTATTTATTTTTGAGACAAGGTCTCCGTATGCAGTTCAGGCTGGCCTTGAGTTTACTTTATAGCCCAGGCTGGCCTGGAACTCTCAACAATCCTCCTGCCTCAGCCTTCCAAGTGCTGGGATTATAGGCGTGTGCCTATAACCACCCCCGGCCTAACAGTTGATTTGAAAATAATCATGTTCACGTCCATAGATTCTGGAATGAACAAGGTCAGAGTCTCTGATTCTTTTATTCATTATCCCTTTTCACTCATTCAGCACTTTTTGAGCTTCTGCTCCTCAATGAGCCTGGGAATACAATCAGAAACAATCTGTATCTAGATTTTTGATCTTGTATGTGCTTTGTGGTCAAAGCCTGGGCACATGAGACTCTAAACTACAGTAATAAATACAGCAGAAGTTGGGCACGGTGGGCCACACCTGGAATCCCAGCTACTTGGGAGGCTGAGGCAGGGGGATCACAACTTCAAGGCCAGGGGCTGGGGATTTAGCTCAGTGGCACAGCGCCTGCCTGGCAAGGGCGAGGTTGTGAGTTCGATTCCCGGTACCGAAAACAAACAAACAAAAGAAACCAAACAACTTCAAGGCCAGCCTGGGCAACTTAGGCGCTGTCTCAAAAAACTCAGTGCTCTTTGGCTTGAGCCCCATTCCACAAACTAAAGAAATGTGTCAAGTGCTATTTCAAACACTCTCCACAGAGCTCCATGCCACTCTGTGAGGTAGGCACTGTTAGAACATTCCTTTTTTGCTCTAGTCCTGGGGATTGAACCCAAGGTCTTGTGTAGGGTAGGCAACAATTCCACTGAGCTACATCCTCAGGCTTTCAATATATAAAAAGAAATGGAAGCCAGGCCTGGTAGCACAAGCCTGTAATCTTGGCACTTGGGAGGCTGAGGCAGGAGAATCTGTGAGTTCAAGGTCAGCCTGAACTACATAGTAAGACTGTCTCAACAGACAAAAAAAAAATTTTTTTAAAGAAAGAAATAGAGATTTTGAACTTTCTTTTTTTTTTTTTGGTTTTTCTCCAGTACCAGGAACCGAACTCACGACCTTGCGCTTGCCAGGCAGGCACTTTTGCCACTGAGCTAAATCCCCAGCCCCTTTTTTTTTTTTTTAGACAGGGTCTCACTATGCAGTTCAGGCTGGCCTGGAGCTCACCTTGTAGCCCAGGCTGGTCTCGAACTCACAACGATCCTCCTGCCTCAGCCTCCTGAGCACTGGGATTACAGGTAAGCACCACCACTCCCGGCTGAGATTTTGAACTTTCTACCTAGAAACTGCACCCGGTGTGTTACATGGTAATGCCTATGTCCATAACCCCTGCACTGCACTGCCTCTTGACTGTGATATCCCTGGAGAAGGTGGTGCTTAAATTTACCAAGATCCTCCAAAAGGATACTCTGTATGCTCTACAAGAAATAGGTCCAAATACTTATCGGACCAAAATTTCATCTTCAAGCAGGTCTGTTCTCCATAACCCTGCATGCACCCAGGAGGCTAAGGCAAGGAAGACACCAAATTTTAGGCCAGCCTGGGCCACACAGCAAATTCAAGGCCAACACACTGAGACTCTGTCTCAAAATACTAAAAAAGTCACTTTCAATCCTTATAAATAGATCCTGAAAACTGCCCTCTTCCCTTTTAAAGACTTCTGCTGGACTAAAGAATTAAGAAAATCTATTTAAGGACAAGCGACAACTGTGGATACCCAATTGGTTGGGTTATCAAGGAACCAGGTTTTCAGAGACCATGATCCTCACAGGCCTGGGAATCAGGCCAATGGTTTGGCGCATAAGGTCCTAGGTTTGCAAATGAACTGATAACCGATATCCTACAAATCTGTGCTGGGAAGCTTACTAATTCTCACGGATGAGAAAAGATTCCTTTTTTAAAATTTCTCAGTACTAGAGGTTAAACCCAGGGTCTGAGCCGGACGTGGTGGTGCACGCCTGTAATCCCACCACTTGGGAGGCTTCGAGAATGTTGGTCAAATGCTTTAACGTTGAGCTGTATCAGCAGCCTTTTTTATTTTTGAGACAGGGTCTCCCTAGGTGGCCCAGGCTGGCCTCAAATTTGTGACCCTCCTGCCTCAGCCTTTCAAACTTTATAAAGGTACTTTACTTGGAGGTTGTACAATAGCCAAGTGGAAGAGAGGAGCTGTCAAAACTCGACTCTGGTGGGACTGAAACTCAACCTTTAAATGCCATTCCAAGAGCTCGGCCAGAATTCCAGGATGATATCCACTGCGCCTCAGAGTTATCCTAGGTGCTCTCGGCTCACCTCTATATGAAACGGCCCCTTCGATGCTCCTCCAAGTGCGGCGCTGGGTCTTTGTTACTTTCAGTTCTGCCCGGGCCACTGCGGGGCTCCCAGCGTCTTGGCTACCGTCCCTCTACCCCATCAGGATGCACAGGGACCGCGGGATCAGAAACCCGGCGCAGCTTTTGGGTCCCAGGCAGCGCGATCCCGCGGCGCGGACTACAACTCCCGGCGTGCCGTGCGGGGCCGCGGGGCGC